CACAACTCATAGGGAGATTCCCTTAGCTTCCTAGACGGAATCCTATTGTGTACATGGCAGGCTGTTAGCAAAGCCTCACCCCATAAATTGTTTGGAGCACTAGCATTCATCAACATAACATTAATCATGTCAGAAAGAACTCCATTTTTTCTCTCTGCTACTCCATTCTGTTGTGGGGTGTAAGGAGCAGTCCTTTGATGTATTATACCATGTTGCTCACAAAACTCGTTAAAGTTATTTGGAAAATACTCTCCACCTCTGTCACTTCGAAGGATCTGTATTTTCCTACCCTTTTGAGTTTCAACAACAGATTTATACAACTTAAACTTATCAAAGGCTTCATCCTTGGTTCGCATTAAATAGACATAGGTAAATCGAGTACTATCATCAATGAAAGTAATGAAGTACCTACATCCTCCTCTAGTTAATTGACCATGAAATTCACAAATATCAGAATGTACTAATTCCAACAATTCTGATTTTCTGTCAACTAACTTAGGAAATGGCTTTCTCTTCATCTTAGCTTGCACACAGATTTCACATTTATCTCCACTGTCATCACCACAAATTACTAAACCATTCCTAGACATATATTTCTGAGTTTTAAAGTTAACATGCCCCAATCGATTATGCCATAAATCAAATGAATTACTTTCTATACTATAATTTGCATGCACATCGATATAAGCAGAACCATCAACTTTATTATTAATATTACCATTGTCAATACTTAGCTTAAACATACCATCACTAACATAGCCCTTCCCAACAAACATACCAGCCTTGGTCAGAATCACCCTATCAGATTCTATCACAACCTTTATCCCCTTCTTACAAAGCATGAAACCAGAAACCAAGTTCTTTCTAACATCAGGAACGTGAAGGACATTGGTGAGAACAACTTTCTTTCCCGAAGTGAAGAAAAGCTCCACGGTTCCAGATCCAAGAACCTTGATCGTGCGATGATCACCCAACAGAACCTCGTGTCCCTCCGTTGACTCTGTGTAGTCCTTGAACATGGCTCTCTTGTTGCAAATGTGAGCAGTTGCCCCCGAATCATACCACCAATCAGCACTGGTCATGACTCCAGCCATGTGCAATTCCTGAATCATACTTACATGTAAGTCAGAAATCATTGCAACAATCTCACTAGGCTCAACTTTCTCAATCACATTTGCACTTGCAGCCCCTTCGTTCTGGTTCTTCTTTGGATTAGGACAGAAGCGAACAATATGTCCCAATTGCCCACAATTGAAACAATTCTTAGTGGACATAGGGGACGGTTTTTTCTTTTTATTCTTCTGGTTGTTGGTCTGGTTGTTGGAATTATTCATGGCCTTTCTCTTCTTCCCCTTCTTGCTCTCCACAACATTCACTTTGGAACTTGATGGTGCCTCCGAATTCAGATCCTTGTCACGGATACGAGTTTCCTCCTCGATCCTAAGGTGCTTCTGAATCTGCTCCAAAGTGAACTCCTCTGACGTATGAAGTAATTTCTTCCTATAATTGTTCCATGATGGAGGCAACTTCGCAATAATCGCCCCCACCAGAAACGCATCAGGAAGAGTTATCTTCAACGCAGTGAACTTAGAGGCCAAGATTAGGAATTCATGAACTTGATCCAGAATTGAACGCTTATCAGTCATACTAAATTCAAAGAACTGGAATGTGACAAACTTATCTGCGCCTTGTTTCTCTGATTTGTACTGGTTCTCCAAAGACGTCCAAATCTCAGTAGGGGTCGCCAACTGGGAATACAGATCGTAGAGACGATCAGAGAGTGAATTGAGGATGTATTCTCGGCACAACAGGCTGTCATCACTCCTCTTCTTGCGCTCAGCCTTCAATTCATCAGAGTCAGTGTCTTGTGGTTCTTCTAGCGGCACCAAATCAGGATCCAGTATGTACACGATCTTCAAAGCAGTCAACAGAAACTTCATCTTCTCTTGCCAGCGGGTAAAATTGGTTCCATCAAACCGATTGAGTTTGTTGGAATCAGAGGCATACGCCTTCAAAGTGCACAAAAGAGTTTATGGTCATTATATGCCTTTATGTTGATGATATGTTGATAATAGGAACGAACATGAAAGGTATAAATGAGACCAAAGAGTATCTAACTTCCTGCTTCGAAATGAAAGATCTTGGAGAAGTAGATACTATATTGGGCATCAAAGTAAAGAAACATAGTGGGGGTTTTGCTTTGAGTCAGTCACATTATGTCGAGAAGATGCTCAAGAAATTCGAGCATTTGGATATAAAGGAGGCTAACACCCCTTATGATGCATCTTTTAAGCTTTGTGCGAATGAGGGAAGGGCAGTGGCACAAGTTGAGTATTCTAGTGCTATTGGAAGTTTGATGTATGCAATGGGATGTACTAGGCCCGATATTGCATTTGCGGTAGGCAAACTTTCTAGATTCACTAGTAATACTAGTGCCGATCATTGGAGAGCTATAGGAAGAGTCTTTGGTTATTTGAAAAGAACCAAAGATTTGGGACTCTTCTATAGCAACTTCCCCGCTGTACTAGAAGCATATTCTGATGCTAGTTGGATCACGAGCGCTAGTGATAATAAATCCACAACAGGATGGATTTTTACACTAGGTGGTGGAGCTGTTTCTTGGGCTTCGAATAAACAAACATGTATTACACACTCCACTATGGAAGCCGAATTCCTAGCCCTTGCGGCGGCTGGAAAAGAAGCAGAATGGCTAAGGAACATGTTGTTAGATATAGAGTTGTGGCCACAACCGATGCCAGCCATTTCTGTATTCTGTGATAGTGAGGCTACGTTGTCTAGAGCTTATAACAAGATTTACAACGGTAAGTCTAGACACATTAGCCTAAGACATGATTACGTTAGGTATTTGATTACTAACGGAGTCATTTCTATTGTGTATGTAAGGTCGTGCAACAATTTGGCAGATCCTCTTACAAAGGGGTTGCCAAGAGGCATGATCTATGAGACATCCCAAGGGATGGGATTGAGACCTTTTGTATAGTTAGAAGTAATGGAAACCCAACCTTTTCTTTAGATATTCCCTAATTAAAAGGTTCAATGTGGTAATAACAAGTTACTCTAACTGGGAACTAGTTTATTGTACAAGTAAATTAGTTGTAAGAAGGGTGAGTTGTAGAACTCTTAATGACGTTCATTTGGAATATCACCTATGTGAGCATTTGGAGTGGTGCCGCTCTAACGAAAGTAAAGGTCAACTTTTGTATATGCTCATGAAACAGGATAAGCACATGGCCATAATAGTGCTACCCTTGTTGGTGGATGTGTTTTAGAGAAGAGACGAGTACGTGTGTGGTGTCTCCGGTTCTAGCTTTTGATCTTGACTCCTAGGCTTAAGCCCGTCATTGATTCGCTATGAACTTTGAGATGCTTACACTAAGTAAAGGTTCAAATCGAAAAGATACCTTTATGTATGCGTTACTTGTTTGAGGCTGGTATTCTCGACTCTTATTGACTAAGTGGGGGATTGTTAGAGTAGTCAAAGAGTAAAGGAAATACCACATTGGTGGGAGAAGGAAAGTGCAAGTTGTTTTTAAGTTTGCTTTCCACTTTAGTTATTGGATAAAGTGGTTAGTGGGCTTTTGGAAAAAGTGTGGGCTATTTAGTTTGACATATTAAATCGCACTACGGACTTAGCACTTAGCACTTAGCGTTCGGAAATTGATTTTTTGGCTATTTAATTAATTTTGGATAATTAATTGGATTTAAGTTTTGTGAAACGACGCAACCCTTGAGAAGGGAACTGCCGTTTTCTCTTATCTTATAAGAGACGTTGGCCAGAAGGTTGAGTTCCAACGTTCATCTTCTTCTCCTCATTTTTCCTTATCCAAAAACACAAACACAGAAGTCAGAAAGGTTGCTGCTTTCGGACTTTGGTTGAAGGGACTCCTGGGGGTGGTTTGCCTAATTCCTACCAGCAACAAAGTAGTGGGGGCAAATAACACTCTAAGGAGAGTGATCAAATCACGCCTTCAATCCGTTTCTCCATACCGTTTCCCTGACAACTACCATATTCCAAACCACTCTGCCCACCTTACAGTTCTTCAAACGAACAGTAGCCGCCGTCATGCACTCGTGCCGTCCAGCTATTGGTCTGTAATCCCATGACATAGAGAAAGCAATTGTTAACACTTAGTTGCACGAAATCACAATTACATGATCGCTTAAACCGTGACACCTTAGCCTTCCTTGGGCTCAGGCATTACCACACTTTCCGAACTGAATACCAACTCATAAATTGTTTATATTGTTATGGTTAGATGCATGTCAATTTTTTCCCGGTGCGGGTCGGATGAAACTGTGTCGGGTATTTTTTCAAACTCTTACCCAACACAACCCCTGCCAATTCGAGCACCTTACCCAAAATTTGTCAACGTTGAATTTTACTCGTTTTGACCGGGTTGGGTACCCATGAGGGCAGGTTCAATTGTCATTCCTACTTTTATCTATATCTTAAGACTAAAGGATTAATGTATTGATTCAAGTAGATGGTATGAAGAATAAGATTTCATTTCAAACATAATATGGTTATACCAAAACGAATTAATAAAAATAAAAAAAATCATATGAAATAATTTTATATTCCTCTAAAATAGCGCTAATCATTGCAATTTGAGAATTTCAACACAAAAAAAAAGAAGCAAATCACCTAAATTCTTCTATACAAAAATCACGTACTTTTCTCAACAACAACAAAGTCATCATCGTTATCTATCACTTGTTACGCTTTTCATGCATAATATATCGTAGAGTGCAGTTTTTTGCGGCAGAAAATTTCTAAATACAAATCTTCCGGGCCATCCATCTTCCCATATATAAAAATGCACCATCAAAGATTCTGTCTTTGTCGCGATTTACTGAAAAAGAAGAAAATAGTACGTAGCACCAATATTGCCACTCAAAAGTTGCAACACTAAATCGAGCCCAAGAAAATGTCATCATCGATGAGGCATGGCAGCAACACTAGGGTAGTGGTAGTGGTCATGTTGTTTCTCTTGTGGACGACACTACTAGCCATTTGCCACGGGAGTGCAATTGACCCAAGGAGGAAACCATCGGCGGTGACGGTGATCAATGAGGTGGAAGGAGGGCCGAAACTGATGGTTCATTGCAAGTCGAAGGACGACGACATCGGCGTCCACATCCTCCCGCCGCACCAGAACATCCGGTGGGGTTTCCGGCCGGACTTCTTTGGAAGGACGCTCTTCTTTTGCGCCATGGATTGGGGTGAAGGGCTTCATTGGTTTGACATCTACGTCGAGAGCAGGGACTACGACAGGTGCAAAGATTGCCGCTGGCTGATCAAGAAAGGAGGGCCGTGTTTGACGAATCCGGAACGCGATTCTTGCCATTACTGGAACAAAAAAAAGTATGTGGTAGAGAGAAGAGAATAATAGGGAAGGAAAGAAAGAAAGTGGGAGCTAGTTGCGGTTTTTTTTAGTGTATTTGTTGTTGCCATTTCTTTTAGTATTTGTTTGATTCTAGTTTTAAGTGATTATGATTGAATTTGGTTGTTTTTTCGTTTTGATTTATTATTATTAAATGTTGTTTTTTCAATGTTAATTAGCAATCGTATTATTTTTACTCTGGGTTTTTTATCGGAACCTGTTACAACTTTTATTAGTCAGACATCACGGTTAATTACATCGTCCACTTTTTAGCTCATCAATAAGAAGAAGAAAAAGGTGGTCTATCTAGCTAGACCACATTCTCGTTCCAGTAAGTCGTCTTCGAGTGAGCCATGACATGAGCAACTTTATTCCCGTCCTGTAAACATGGCACCAAGTTTCACAACCGCCATCTCCTGCGAGCATCGATCGCGTACTCCGACTAACAACGTAACCCGTATGTGTAAAAACAATGTGCTCTGCTAGAATCTTCTGAACAAGGTCACAAGTGTAGCAAAGGGGCGCAGCCGGGCAGGAAGCTAACGCTCTGTTTGGCAACAAGGGGGGTGCAAATTGCAGGAGGGTGCAAGTTGAGGGGCAAATTGCTGGGGGGTGTAAGTGGAGGGGTAAATTGTTGTTTGGATGAAAGAGTAGGGGGGTGCAAATAAAGTGCAAAGTAAGTAATTATATTATTTTAAAATAGATTTTAAAATTATAAAATAGATTTTAAAATTATAAATATTATCATAAAATAATAAAATAAAATTACTATATAATAATAAATATACTTTACTAAAAATAGTTATTATATAATAATGCTCAAATAATAATTAATTATAACAATTGTAATAATCATTGATCGAGCGATCTCAAAACTCGAAGCTCAACTCCTAACTGGTCATCCTATATAGGGTTTTCGTGTCTAGTTTAATCTTAAATTGTCAAACTTAGTCAAACACGTTCGAATTTGTAAGTTTTAACTATTTAGTCAAATAAAATGAGTTAACCAAACAATTTCTCTCTATCTTTTCCACAAACACCTTGTATATCTAATTTTCAATGCAAATTCGATTCAACCAAGAGATCTAGATTTGACTTGACGAACATTTATAAACTTGTTTCCAGAGTCAAATGGGCAACCCCGAATAATGTTTACATTAATGATATTTATAAAAAGAAGAAATTGATAATATTAATTATTATATAATTATATATAACACAATTAGAAAAACAAAATTCCATAATTCCCCCCTCCCCCTCTCTTCCTTCCTTCCTTTGCACCCCAATTCGGGGGGTAAGCCGAAACAGTAAATTTGCACTCTCGTTTTGCACCCCCCTACTGTTCCAAATTAACCAAACAGGTGCAAATGTGTTGGAAACTGTGTTTACCCCTCACATTTGCACCCTCCTCCCATTTACCCCTCTTCCCAAACAGAGTGTAAAGATCGTGGTCTGGAAGCACTACAAAAAAGAGAAGGTTTGAGGACGACAAAAGTCGTCCCCGGAAATAGGAAAAATCGTCCCTATAGTTGTTGGGGACGACTTAGTCGTCCCCAATTTGTGGTTCCCTATACTCTTGTCCTCTATTCTTTTGGGGACGACAAAAATCTAGGTCGTCCCCAATAACGCAAGTCGTCGTCTCGTTTCTTTTCCATGAAAGACAACATGTCGTCCCCATAGCTATAACTTTAGCGACAATAAGTTGTCCCCTAAACATCATTTATAGGGACAAATTGTTGTCTCACATAATCGATTTCTTAATTGCTCTGGGCCAATATGAGGATAATTTGTTGTCCCCTTTTCTTTCTATAGGGTCAACATGTCATTCCTATAGGTGTCTAATTGGAGTCCAAAAATGGTCCCCAAAAGCTTTATTCAAAGACTACGAGTGGTCTCCTATACTATATCTTTAGAGACGATAAGTTGTCACCTATGAATTTTAGGGACGAACAATTGTCCCTTAACCTGTGTATCGGGGGACGAGGAGTTGTCACTTATGCACATTTTGGAGATGACTAATTGTCCCCTAAGTAACTCGTATGAACGACATGTTGTCCCTTAGCATGTGTCTTTGGGGACGACTAATTGACACTTGTATCACATGTGGGGACGATCAGTTGTCCCTTACATTGTATTTTTGGGAATGCCTAATTGTCACCTATTTAACTGGTAGGGACGACCAATCATCCCTTACGCAATGTTTTTAGGGGCGTTAATCTGTCACCTATATAACTTTTATGGGCACCCAGTTGTCTTTAAGTTTTACCTTTCGAGACGACTAATTGTCCCTTAAGTGGTGTCATTAGGGACGCTGAAATGTTTACATAAACTCTAGGGACGACAAAGTGTCGCTTAAACGGTGTCTTTGGGGACGAGAGGTTGCCACATTTGAAAGTTGTGGGGACAAGGACAATTGTCCCTTCACCAATGTCTTTGGTCGCCTATAAAAATTTTATGTCACCTGTTACCTCATGAATCATGACTAATATTATAAAGCTTTTAGGAATGACATAGCACATTTAAACTCAATATAGCAAAAATGTCATAAAATCATCTCCACAACAAATTAAAACAAAACTAATACAATGTCATCCAATTCAACAATAGGAAAATCAACATTTATCTTTTGCAATGCAAAACATTCTCTAGTGAAACTAGAAGAATAAAATTGAAATAGATAACAAGTTTCAAATCCATAAATTGTTCTATTATATCTCTAACAAAAAAAACTGGGTACTAAAGCTTATCTCTGCATACCACACCATGTTCTGACCAACAAACATCCTTCTTCTCTTATCTCCTGAAAATGTAATCAACAAAATTTAAAAGTTAGATATAGGGCAACGACAGCAATTGAATCAAATGGAAGTATGGACACAACTTGAAAAAGAAAAGCAGGTGCGCATCATATATAAAAACGAAAAGCTACATACTTATAATTTGCGGCCAGGGAAACATATTAGTGCCAATTTATCTATATGACCAAAAAATCATTCCAAAACCAAAGGCATTGCAGCTTAAAGAGAGTACCCATCTATTTCTCTTTATCTCCTGAAAATGTAATCAACAAAATTTAAAAGTTAGATATAGGGCAACGACAGCAATTGAGTCAAATGGAAGTATGGACACAGCTTGAAAAAGAAAAGCAGGTGCGCATCATATATAAAAACGAAAAGCTACATACTTATAATTTGCGGCCAGGGAAACATATTAGTACCAATTTATCTATATGACCAAAAAATCATTCCAAAACCAAAGGCATTGCAACTTAAAGAGAGTACCCATCTATTCTACTACGTAAGCTAGCTAGCTTCTTTGAATCAAAAGAAAACTCGTGATTACCTATTTGTCCTTTTTGAGTTTGAAACCTGCATGACTGATGCAGCTCGTTTCTTCTTCATACGTGTAGCCTGTACAACACCAAGCCAACACTGCAGGGAAACAAAAGCCACCGCTAATTTGAATGAATATAAAGTACCACAAAAGAGGCCATGGATTCGAAGTCAGCTGAACCAACTCCAAAGGAACGTGTCTGGCGGTTAAAGATGTGTTACAAAATTTAATCTCACCATTAATTATAAGGAATAACCTATTATGGCATGGGTTCAATCCCATTATAAGGTATAACCAATCATGCCATGGATTCAATCCCATATTGAAGCTACAATTAATAGCTAGCAACAACGGAAGCAGCAGCCCAACACATGCTAATTTGAACAAAGCTTTAATTACCTTATAAATTCAACGAGCCATGTTCTTCACTAGCAGATGCACGCAGATTGGGGGTGAAGATTCATAGTAGGCACTTCAGTTTCTGGAACACAAGACATGTTCACGATTCCTGTGTCTGTAGATATGAGCGGAGGACGTGCTCTATGGTTCGCCCTTTTGTTCCCTGTACTAATCATCTTTGCAAAACAGATTTACCAACATGGTTAGATTGAAAAAGAAAAAGATTAATTAACAGCAAAGACCCTGCTCAGAAAACAGAGATGTAAAAACAAAGGGTCTGGAACAACCGGACCCAGGCCGAGATGAATCACAAAAGGCTGTAGATCCCTAGTTGAGAGAGATTAACTTACCGACGACAGTTCTTCCGCGCAGTTCTTCACTCTCCGATCAACACTTTGCAGGCGGCAGTTCTTGAGTCTACAGAGATGGATGAAGCAGAGAATATATGTGCGATTGATTGCATAGAGATTTGAGGGTATCGTTTTAATCGAAACTGTGGGAGATTTGGGTGTATCTTATTCATTTCGAAAGGAAAGCTAGAGAAAGTCGGATTTTTGCCGCCAAACAATTGAGAAACGAAGAGGAAAAGGGTATTGAAAAGAATCGCGAAAGGCTGAGGGTTTGAGAAAGCGGCCAATTTCAAATTTTTAGCCCGCAAACTTTTGGCTAAAAGGCCCGCCAGTCAATTGAGAAAGCGGCTGGAGAGGGTTGTAATTTGTTTTGGTAATTTCAATTTGCATTTTTTTAATTAATTTCAATTTTCTTTTGATCCTTGCAAGGTCAATCAGTTTAGTCCGGATTGACCCGGATATCTAAGAAAAGTTATTATTTTCATATATAAATCCCTGGCTTAGACACAAGAAAATAGCCTCGCGGAGCACAAGCAGTTCAACAATTATAGGATTATCAATCTCCGGAAATTGCACTCCTTTTGCCAATAGGACTTCCCCACCTTGGTTTAGAATAATCATCCCTCCCGCCGAATGGGATCCACTTTTAGTTGCCCCATCCCATATGTAGACTATAGAGCTCGGATGCACAACATCCAAAGGCTTAGTTAGTGGGATGGAAACTTGGCGACCGCGATCAACTGGCAAATTAACCACTCCTGGTATTGATGGTTGAAGTGCGGATTAGAACTGGAATGCCAAACTATTTGCCCTAAAAAATAACCCAGTTTCGTGATCTCAAAATCCTCCAAAGGATCGAAACAATCGCCATAAACAGTTGAGGTTGATTAATGAGTAGCATCAACTTCTCACAAACATCGTACT